CAGACCACAGCAGACCCTTTCTTCCTTTGCATGGTATCTGTCTTTTCCTATCGTCTCCATCATTCCTAAGAGATGGAAACTGAGATCCACACATTAAATCTTCATGTGACCCTGGCTGTGTCCCTGGAATGGATTCTAGGCCTGGGAAAATACTGGTTAGGAACTGTAACCTGAGGTTGTGACTCCATGATGTCAGCACCCGAATGGTTCAAACGCATTAGCCTCACATAGTTAAGACTTCATCAAGCAACGTGTCGAGGCCCTCATTCAGTCTGCGATGCTTGGATTGTGTGCTTCATTTTAAATCAAAACCACACCACATCACAATTACCTCTCCTGGTTTTGTTGGTTTGGGTTTCTGTTCTTTTCGTTCCCAGGTCTGAGGTCTATCCAGGTAAACCAGACCTGACCTAGATCTTTGAAGATGGATTCTGGGCATTTGGTGGATTTTCAAAGACACAGGTTGAGTCTGCCATGGAGTCAGGACTGGGAATCACTGTGAGACCCTCCCCCAAGCCTACAGGTTAAAATGTGCTGAGCTTACTATTTCCCTGAGTAGTTCTGACTTGTTAAAAGGTCTTCCCAGCTCAGTTCTAATTGTATCTTCACAACTCAGGGAGGCAAGTGGCTCAGATATTGGCACCAGGCAGAGAAAGTCAGGCATAAGCATGTTGCATGAATTGCCCAGGGTGCTGCAGGGAGGGAGTCTCACCTCAGCACCGGTTGCCACATTGCCTTCCCAGTCACTCCTCAACCACTGGGAACACACACTGAGACACATTATCACTAGAGAAATAACATCTGGGTGAGGCTATCACAAATATGCATGATTGCCATAGGAATTCCAGTCTGGAAGCCACACGGTTATGAGGCAGAAAGGTAACAGGGAGGGACACAACGGGACCTGGGCAAAGGAAATGACATTTAGAAGAAATGGAAGGCAAGGAGCCAAACTGCGAAGAGCCCTCAGGACCTGGCGAAAGAATTCAGCCGAGAAGAACCCACTGCACGTTTACGGAAATAAAATCTGAACTGTGTTTTAAAAACACAAAGAATAAATTTTAACACTCATGCAAGTGTCCAGATTGTGTTAGGACATCAGAGGAGATGCACTGGGAAGCTGGCATACCTCTGAGCAGACTCCTTTCACTAGATGAAGATGCTTACATCTTCCTCCCCCCACCATGTGACTCTTCACGGCGCCTCACAGGAGTCCCACCGTTCTTATACCCCAGCCGTCTACTTGAGCTGCCAAGCTTGCACATTAGAGGACACAGACAAGAGGATAGGTGAGGGGCATCTTCAATGATTACTGCTCCCAAGTGCGGGCTCTGGTAAGACAGAAAGCAAAGCAGAAGAACGCAAGGCTTCAGGCTCACAGGAGGGGCAGACAAAGTGACTCAGAAAAGATGGGGTGATCAGGTGTCTTTTAAAATTTTTACTTATTATTTTTATTTATTTTATGTGTATGAGTATATTGCCTGCATGGATGTATGTGCACCTGTGTCATGCAATGCTCACTGAGGTCAGAAGAGGGCATCAATCCTCTAGACCTGGAGTTAAGACAGTTGTTAAGCACCATGTGGGTGCTGGGAATCCAACCCAGGTCCTCTCCAAGAGCAGCCAGTGCTCTTAACTGCTGAGCCACCTCTCCAGCCCCATCATCACCAGTATCTTAAAGGGCGGGTGGAGCTGCCTGGCCAAGGCCTCAATCCAGCAGAAATTTATTAAATAACTCCTATAGGCTACATTTCAGGGAAGGAAAAGACTCCTATGGTAGCAAACACCAGGCCTCGTATCTGAGCCAGTCCTCTCCATGTACAGCTTGTGAAGCAAGGTAAAAATACACGTAAGCAACAAAATTTGTTTAAAGAATAAAAAACATCTTTGAACCTATGTACCTTAGCCACTGTATTACAGTCGACTCAGAGTCCAATATGCTATCCCTTCGGCTGGACTTCCCCTAATTATTCAAAAAGCTGCTCCTTTCTCATGATTCAGAAGGGAAGGCTCTGCAACCACTCACACAGTCTCTCCTAATGGGTCACCCTGTTCTACACCTTCCCACCTCCTGACCCCATGCAGCTTCCACAAGGCCTGAATACCTGGCATTTCCCTAAGCGCGCATTGCCATAGTCTTGTTTCCTGGGGAGAAGGGACGTTTCTCGGGAGCTGGAACTTGGTCTGATTAACTGCTGCCAGCCATACAACATCTATTTAATACTGTACACCGTTTGGAGGGGGGGTTATAAACGGCATCAAGATTAAGACCTCAAACCGAATTAGGCCGATTGCTAGTGGCTTTCGGTCACATACTGAGAATTAACTGAACAGCAAAGTTATTTTGAGGCAAGGGCGGGGAGGTGGGGGTACGCCAGATCAGTGTCCAGAATTCACAGTTTCCTGTAGAGTATCCACCCGGTGTGAGTTATTTAACGAGGCCAAGCCTGCTCAGGTTTTATTTCCATTGTCCTGACGTCAGAAAAAGCACGAGTTTCTTCTATTAAGGTGACAAATTAAAGGTTTGCTGGGCCCTGCGTTCTGCAACCCTCTCTCCCTTACATTAAAAAGAAAATGGTAAAAAAGCATGCAGACATGTCCAATCTTTCCTAGCAGCGGGTCTTTTCCACTCTTAACGCCCACACCATGTCTGAGAAAGTACTTGACCCAGTTTGTTTTCCAGCGGTGATTCAAGCTGGTAAAAAAAAAAAAAAAAAAAAAAAAACCCGGTCCGCGCCGCAGAGCGCGACACAAAGGACTGGAATTTGGCACCACCTTCTCCGGCCCAAGGTTGCCTACGAAAGGCACTCGCCACAGCGTGCCGAGCTCTCGCCAAATTCCTTCCTCCTCCTGGTGTCCTGGTGCCCAGAAAGAGCCCAGCACCGCAGCAGCACCGGGGCGGCCGGGACACCCACTGGGTCCCCGGGGTGCAGAGGAGCGCGCGCCGCGGGCGGGGTACCGGGGAGGGCGGGAGAGAGCAAGGTCGGGGCGCACACCAGACGCGTTTGGAGCCGGCGGGCTTAAAGGCCTTTTGCCGCAATGTTTGCGGACGCAAGTGAGGACCCTTGGTGCGGGAGATGCCCGGGAGCGCAGTGGCCCGGTGCTGCGCAAGCAGCGGCCTTTTGTTCGCCCGCCCCTTAGATCCGGCTCTCGGAAAGGAACTATCTATTACTCCCTCTCATTCTAGAAAGAACCTCCAGGGCGGGAAAGGGCAGAATGTCACATCCAGCATCCTCCCACCCCCACCCCCCAATTCAGGGAGGGGCGGAGCCCGAGGGAGGGCTGCCCAAGGCACCTGTTCGCGGTGGTCGCCCGCCACCCGCTGTCCCGCGGGACCCCGGACCCCACCCGGCCGCACTTTACCGCACACGCTCTCCACTGACCCCTGCGGACGCGGGAAAGTCTCCCGAGCTGTGGACTGAGTCACCTTCGCGCCCTCACATCGCCGGCACGCTCCCCCCAGACCCCTGTGGTCCCCAAGTCTCCAAAATGTTAGACCTGGTGCCACACTCCACCGCCAAGAAAAGAGGCCCCAAAGTAAGCGCAAAGATGTCACCGGGGTCCCCGGGCTTCCCGGAGTGGCTGTGCGTTCGGGGAAGATCAAGGGGACTTCGACTGCGCCTTGCAGAAGAGGGAAATCCAGAGCACGGACGCCGGCACGCTGCCCCTCCGTTCACGCGGGCTCGGATGGTGTCTGCGCCTCCTCCCTCCCTCCCTGCCGCTCCCTCAGAACCGCGGTACCTTAAAATAAAGGGAAAGGTGGCCCGAGGCGACGCCGAAGGGTCCCAGGATGCGTCCCGTCAGGCAGTCCGATGTCCTTTGTGTCAAGGTCTGGCTGGGAAAAGGTGGCCCCTCGGCAGGGAGGCTCGGCGGGCGGATTTCCGAAGGTGAAGGGCAGGGGTTCCGGGCGACCTTCAAGCGGTGTGGTGCGGCCGCCAGCGCTCCAGCCTCTCCTCCTCCTTTCGGGGCCCGATTGCATCAGTCTCCCCCCACCCACTCGGTGCTCGCCAGCCTCGCACTGGCATCCACGCGCTCGGCGCCGCTGGGGTCCAATCCGATTCCTGTGCCACTGCAGGGCGCGTCGCCCCGCTTAGGTTGGGAAGGTTTAACGCGGCGGGTCAGACTCCCCCTCCCCTCCCCTCCCGCTCGCCCGCCACAGCAAAGCTGCGAGCGGCTCCCCGGCCGGTCACATGCTGCTGGCGGCCAGGCCTCCCTGCCCGGCCCTTGGGGTCTCCGGCGATGCAGCCCCCACGGCTGGCGGAGACGGAACATCCGGGAAGGGCTGGAGGGTGGGGATGCGGGCCACTCGGAGCCGCGGAGGCTTCGCACCGCCCCGACACCTGCCCGTGCCCCCCCTGGGATGGGAGCTCAGCTGCGGCGGCGGCTGCTGAGCCCGCGCCCTCGGGGTCGGAGGTGTGGGGGTCGGGGGGCTCTGCGCTTGGGTGGAGGGCCTATCTCTCGGGGTACCGCGGCCGCAGGAACGACGGAGTTGCGTTGTGGGAAGGGCGCCGCAGGATGGCTGCGGGAGTGGTGGGTGGGTTGCTGCCCTGCGTCCGGAGCGGCGCGCGGTTCTCCGGGACTCTGCGGGCACCGGGCCGGCAGGAAGTGGGGCGGGAGAGGCCGGGGTCGCGGGACACTTTCGGAAACCCTTTGCACCGAGCCCGCGGCGGGAGACGCCTCCGCCCTTCCGGACTGGACAGCTGCAGACCTCGCCACCCGGGCCTAGGATCCGCGCTGTGGACCCCGCTAGGCACCGGGTGTGACCGTGACCTCGGGACCGCGCACCTGCCTAGATACCCGGATGCGGAGCCCGGCCACGTGACCCCGCCCGAGGCCAGGCGCAGGGGAGTGGTGGGGGCGGAGGGAGAAGGGGGCGAGCCAGCGGGGCTGCTTCCCTTCAGCCCCCTTTGTCTCAGCTCTGGCGCCGCCCCCCCCCGCCCCCGCTGACTGCACTGCCTCACTGAGTCGTGTCTCCCTAAAATGGCGACAGGAAATCCCACCTGCACGCCAGCCAGTGTCTCTGCCGTCACCAGCGACTCTGCACGGTGCAAACGCCAGCCTCTCACAGGGATGGCTTTGTCTTCGCGTTCCATCAGAACAGGAAAACGACGGTGAATCAAAATTGTAAAGTGAGTCTACCTGGAGTCTTTCAGGAGGCTGTGTTGCGGTGGTCTCCCTCTCCGCTGGAAAACTGAGGGGACGACAAAAATTAACTCCTTAGTGACTAAAATACTCCCTTCGAATGGCAGTAAATGCGCTTGGTTAGTTCAGCAGTCGCCTCGAGACAACGCTATTCAGGAGGCATATTCTTGAACATGCCGGAAAACCGGGAGGTCACCGCAAACCGAAGGACCACCTTGTTCAGACCAGCTTCTTCCTCGGATACTTCGTGCTGCTCTTACTTGCTTCACTTTCGTCTTAGTGCTTTTTCTTAATATCTAGACAGTATACCACATAAGACTGTAGGTTTGCACCAAAAAGTTGGCTCTTTTTAACTTTTAAAGGAAGGTAGAGAAATTATTTTAACTTAGGATTATAACCGTGTAAGTTAAATAGGTAAACAGAACCACGGTTCAATGAGCTTGTTGAAACGTGTACATTATTAAAGGAACATATATGTTCCACAGAATCTGATCGCAAGCGTACCTTTTAGTTCCAATTTTAACTTGGTGTTTCTGTTTACCCAGCACTTTCTGAATTGAGTGCAAGTTTCGAATTGAGCTCCCTACTCTTTGCCCGCTCCTGTGCTGAGCACTTTATATGTTTTCACATTTAGTCTTTTTCATACTGCAGTTAGGTAGTATCCTCTACATAAACAAGAAAGCAGGTGAAATCGAGCATATTTACCTAAGGCAGGAAGTAATGGAGAGACGGATCCCCACTCAGGTCTGATTTCAAAGTCCGCCCAGTCTTAGAAGCATGGTTCACCCCTTCTCTGGATTTTAGTTTAAACCTGCAACTGGGGGGGGGTCATCAGCATCAAGGCGTCAGGGAAGGACTGTTGCATGGTGGAAAACTGGGCTTGATGGGAATATGGCAGAGGCACTGTTCAGGAAGTGTCTGATAACCTCCTGGACTGTGTAGGAGGAAAGTTCCCTCCGCACATAACCCCAGCTGCTGTGATCTCAAATGGGATCTTGGAGGGATGCCATGAAGAGGGGTTCCAAGTCACTGTGTGCTTACTAAGAAACAAGCAGCAGATCAAACATTTTCCACGTGGCCTTTCATCTAATCCTCAGAACACTCGGAGCAGGACCTGCCATCCCAATCCCTGATTGAAGGGTTAAAGAATTTATCCCAAATCCTCATAGCTCTAATTGTCATATTTAAGTCTTCAGCTCAGAGACAGGTGTCTATGTCTGGCTCTTTCTTATAAGGTTCTTGGATTCTGGAACATAAATATTCAGCAGAAGTGATGGCAAGAGTACCTTTTAGTTCCCCCTCTTTAAAGAAAGAGGAGGTGGGAAGGGTCCTGGCCACTCTGCACTGCATGGGAGCCTCTATTTCTACAGTCTTTGTAGACTCTAGGGGGTCACTTTGCCGGGTATTTTTTATGAGCTGCAAGAACACCCCTGTTAGTATCTAACATTCTTGTAGGCCTATTCCAATTGAGAACATTTCCCAAAACGATAGTAGTTGGGATGCACTGGCAGCTTTTATCACAGGCTCCCCTAAGGAACAGAAAGAAATTAAATTTCTGTTTCTGCTCTGAAGGTGAGCCTAGCTGTAGGATCCATAGTGTGAAAAGAGAAATAGATAGCTTTACCTGAGGGTTTTCTAGATGCCCCATTAGCTCGATTTATATGGTTCCTGGAGGGAAAGGTAGCCTGAAGAAAAATCAGTTGTACCCTGAGAAGAATGAACCTGAACTTAAGCTGTATCTACTCATCCCAGCTTGACCATGAACTCCACAGCCTGCACTTCCTCCAGACCTGGGCCCCCAACATCGCTGGCAAACACTGTGTGCTCTCCCCTGTGGGTTTTCACAGCCTTCCAAGTACATCTGGTCTGACGGTGGCAGACTTCTTGTATAGGAATTTTATAATAAGAATGAAAACAGTTTTTATTAGTTTCTTTAATTTGAAAAGGACTGTAAGAAGAATTGGAATTTTAGCAGTGATTCAGGAAATAAGTCAACTGTGGGGTCATTTCAGAACAAGTATCCTGCACATTTCCTGTGATTAACAGAAGCAGTCCTGTCTTCAGAGGTACAAATCAGACCTTGATCGAAAATACGTTTGTTGTGAAATCAGTCTTTTATTCTTATTTATAGGGCTACTCTAAAATGACAGGTGTTTTTTTTTTTTTATTAATGATTGGTTTTTCTTGACGTAGAATTACACTTCCTTGCCTGTTTAACCCCTTTAACCATCCTTGCGTTTCTTTGGATCACATCCATACATAATAATATTTTGACACTCAAATTAGTGGAGCAATCATAGCCAAAGGTAAAATTGCAGTGAAAGGAAAAGTTGCCATGGCTATTTTTCTGCAGATGGTGATAATACATGGCCTAGCCCCCTGGTAGATTGCACTGTGTGGGCTGTTGCCTCTTCTGGCTTGATGATGACCATTTTATCTCCCCAGATTTCTAAGTGGCTCTGACAGGAAGTCCTCAACCCTTTCTGACCCCAAACAGAATTTAAATTAAAATCCCATGGCAAACCAATAAAGTCTCTGGGATGTGCCTGGGTCAGCTTTGTAAGATCACTCATGTGTTTCTGTTTAACTGTTAGAGGAGCTAGAGGTGAGGCTCATTAGATCTTGAAACTGTATAGTAATATAGTCTCAATCATTCACATTAACTAAATGATCAGTCCTGGAAGCTTAATGTCTAACTTGTCTGACATTTATGCACCACTATGCTGCCCAATGTGAATACAACTCCCTAGCTTGTTGCAAAATAGGGTAATGGTACCCACCTGGCAATCACATGGCTTGGCGTCTATAAAGTACTTAAGCAAACTACTTGGTGTAATAAATACTCGATAAATGGCACATGTTATTCTGCACGCTTTGCAGAAATAAGCAGGGGCGATGAAGTACAACGCTCAAGCATGAAGCATTCTGTTATGTTCACCCCATCTGAAAAGGTTAAGTCGGCATCTCAACTCAAATCCCTCCCACCGTGAAAACAGGAAAGAGAAGGTATTAATACCTAGGCCTCCAGATCAACATCAAAGCTTAACTTTAAGGCAAGAAAGCAAGTTTGGGATATCCATTTGATGTACCAGTTGGAAAGACATGTTGGGTGAGTGACTAGCCACCTGTGCTTACTAATGCTGCTGTTGTAAATTAATACAACTTTTCCTGAGATAATCAGATTTCCTAAATGTGGACCCTGGGTCCATATTTCCCCAAGTTGTCATCTTGGTCCCACAGTATACCATCCCTTTGACATTTTGTATTGATTACTATACTAATCGACTTTTAGTTGCTATGACAGAATACGTGAAACAAAACAACAACAACAACAACAACAACAACAACAACAATCACCTAAGGGAAAAAAGATTTACTCTGCCTTATGGTTTTAGAAGTAGTCATAAGTCAGCTGTCTCTGTCACTTTAGGTCTGAGGCAAAGCAGAGCATCTTGGCAGCAGGATGTAGTGGAGGAGGCTGCTTGCCTCGTGCAGCTGAAAAACAGAATGAGAGGTATAGTCCCAAGGGCACACTCCACGTAAGTGTCTGTCATCTCCCTAGTCCATCTAATTATGAAATCAATAAATTAACCCACCGCTGAGGGCAGGGCCCTTGTGATCTAGTCAGTTCCCCAAAGCTGATCATCTGGCAGCCAAACCTTTAGCATATGGCCTCTGAAGAACATTCTAGATCCAAACCACATCATAAAGTTATGTGACATATACATGGTATTACATGTGTATCACATTCGTTCATAGTGTATCTTAGGTATTTAAATAATAGTTATTATTATTACAAAACAATTTGACCAGAAGTAGGAGAAACCTAGGTAGTGTGTATCTCTCTTCTGGGTTTCTGAATCCTGGGAGTGGAAAACAGACATGTTTCTCATGTTAAGGGGACATGAACCAAGTAAAAGTGAAAAGCGTGTTTGAAAAATAGCCTTCCAAAGCCAAAGTAACAAATCTGTCAGCGTCAGATTGAACACTCCAGTGGGTGGGCTTGGGAGAGCGCCACACCTTCCACCTTTCCACAAAGCCCTTGGAAATGCTTTGAAGAAACAAGACTAGGGCTGACTGTTCTTAGTTCTGGTCCAGTGCCATCACTTACTTACCAGGTTAGAATTCCAGAGGTCATGTAGCACAGAGAAGGGATCTTCATCCAGGACCCAAGAGCTGAAAGTGGCAGCAGAAAAGGGGTGGATGGAGAAAGACTGAGAGGTAGATAAGCCATCAAGCAAAGAAGATGAAAAGCCAGGAGTATCTGAAACCAGCCTGGGTCTCCGGCCGGCCCTCCGGAGCATCCTCTCAGGGTGCCTGAGGCAGGCTGTCCTGTATGGGGTGCTGTTTGATGCTCAAGTCCTGTTCAGCAGAAATAAGTTTGAATTTTCTGTTGAAAGGGTAGCTTTGGAGGGGGGAACTTTTTTTGTCTTTCTTTTCTTTTTGTCTTTCTACGTTGACTGTATCCAAGGGGAAGAATCCTATTTTAACTTGAGTAGAGCAGCATGCTTTATTAAAAATGAGCTCCATTCTAAATGATTGTTCTTAAACAAAATAATTTCATTGTGGTTGATTTTCATATTTGAGGCATATGAAGCTATTTCAAAACCACAAAAGGGGTAATTTTAATGAGAAGGGTTTAAAATTGATGGTCTTCTCTCCATCTATATTTATGGCTATTTATATGTACACTCACTCTAAATTAAGCTGTTCCGAGGTTTTCATTCAAATGTACCATGTCAAAATTGAACTCATCGTTTCAAACGCTCTTCTCCAATAAGCCTCATCCTGGGAAATGGCACCACATGGGCACAAGCAAAGGGATCTTGGCTCATCGTCTTCCTGTCGAATTAATTCACTCTTTCAACTAGCATTTAGCAAGAGCCAGGTATTCTGTGAGTCTTTCGTGGAGTTTGGAGCTAGGCAGAGAGATTGACTTTGTTTAGATAATCTCGGCCCTGAGTGTGTCAACAAAAGAAGGAGAGAAGAACTCTGAGAAACAGAGGGATAAGCCCTGACCTGAGGGTCAGGGAAGGCTTCCCTGGGGACATGACTTTGTTTGGATTTCACTCTTCTTAGGCTGCGGACCAGGTGACAGACATGATCCGGTGCATTTTTGAAAGAAAGTTGTTCCACCTTTTTTTT